TGGGGCAGAGGCCCCACCTGGATTGGCACTATTTTATATTTTAAACTGGGTGGTGAGATTTCTGTTCACTCTTCTATATATTTTATTCTCTGGTTTTCTTTTTCTGTACCTAAAACACAACATTATTAAAAAAAAATTATGACCAAAAAATAAAAGCCGGGTCCCTTCAGCTGCATGTGGAGATGGCCTTGAACTGGGGAGACCAGAGGCTAGGAGCCCAGGGGCAGGGACTCTGGCAAGAGGAGACGAGGTGTAGGGAGGGAGAGACGGACCCAGGCCACCCCCAATAGACAGTGGGGAGCCTTGGTGGACTACCAGCCTCCGCTTCACCATTCTCGTTCCCAGGTGACCCTGCTGGACTTTGGTGCAAGCCGAGAATTTGGGACCGAATTCACAGACCATTACATCGAGGTGAGTCTCCCTGATCCTGTCGTCTGAAGGGCTGAGGCTCAAGCCAGATACTGAGGCAAAGGTGAGAAGGATAAGTATAGTACCTGGAATTAAAAAATAAGAAATAATAGTAATACTAATAGGAGCTAACAAATACCAAGCACTTAATGTTATGCCAGGTTGCTGTTTTAAGTGCTATACATATGGTAACTGATGTGAACTATACAGCCACTCCATGGTGTAAGGACCATTTTTAGCCCCATTTTACAGATGAAGTAACTGGGGCTCAGAGAGGTTAAGTTACTTGCCTAAGGTCACAGCACACCTGGGATTCAAACTCAGGTGGTCTGGGTTTAGAGCCCATGCTTCAAACCCTGACTAGCCTCCTCCTCAGAGAGAGGCCCATGAAGGCCATCCTGTCACCTCCGCACAACCGACACTGCCCAGGGTCTTGGTGCCCAGCCTTGCCCTCACATACCTCCCTGGCAGGCTGCTTCCTGCGGAGCTGCTCTGTCCTCAGGAAGTCCTTCCTCACCTGTTGCCTATCCCTCCCACCAACTTGGGGCGATTTGTCTCAGAGGCCACAGAGAAAACCATCTCACTAACTGGTGAGGCTGGACATTCAACCTGGGTTTTCTAATCATTTAGCCATCAATTCAAACATTCTTTGATACCACCTGTGTGCCCAGCCCTATTCGGAGTAACTCGGGGACAATAGTGACCAACCCAATCCAAGTCCCCACATTTGAAGAGCTCACAGTCCAATGGGGGAACAGACAGTGAAGACCCAGAGTGGTCAGGGCTGGGATGGGGAAGCACAGGGCACTATGGGAGCTCAGAGAAGCATAGCCCAGCCTAGGGAGTCAGGAAGGGCTTCCTAAGGGAGGAGGTATCAGAATTGAGACCAGAGGGATGAGGAGACCAATAAGGAAGAAGCTAGGAGGGCATTCCAGATCCACAACATGTACAAAGACCAAGCGGTGAGAAGGGATATTCCCATTAAAGCAGCATTTCTCAAATTTTAATGTGCTTGTGGAACCCCCTTACCCCCCATGATCATGTTGACATGCAGATTCTGGTCTGGAGTTAGGCATAAGATGATGCATTGCTAACACACAACCAGGTGATGCCAGAGCTACTCGTACAGGAGCCACACTTTGAGAAGTAAAGTCCTAGGGGGCCAAAATGAAGTTCACATTCTGACTGGGTGGGCAGGTGGGGGCAGAAGAGGAGCCAGCAATGAGATTGGAACCAAATCATGCTGGGTCTCAGAAGCCATGCTTTGTAGTTTGTACTTGTATGGGTGCCGAGGGGAGCACCGCCAAAAGACTGCCATGTCCCGTCTTTTTCCAATTTAAAAAAGCCCTGTCGCACTGGCCCCTAAGGACCATAGAGGCCCCACAGACAGCCAGACAGGCTTGAGCATGGAAGCTGCAGCAGAATGGAACTGGCAGATTAATCCTGTATTCCCCTTCCTCCCAAAGAAGGGCAACTTGCTGGTTAAGGGGTCTCCCAGGTTCCTTTCCTTCCCTCTCTGTTGCACACTATGAGCCTGTTTTCTCATGTGTGAGGTCGGGACTCTCGCATCCACCTCTTAATAATAATAGTAGCTGAACATATTTATGGTGCTTCCTCCATCCCAGCACAGTTCAGCACTGCATAGCTATCGCCTCTTTAACCTCACAACAACCCCATGAGGAAGATAACTCCAACATCCCCACCTAACAGATGAGAAATCAAAGGCCTGAGGCAAAGCAACTTGCCCAGAGTCAACCAGCAAGTGGCAGAGCTGGGACTGAGCGCAGGCAGCTTGTGTCTGTCTGTCCTTCTACCCTCATCTCCCACCGAGTGCACTCTCAGCTGGAGGGGTGTTTAGCTAATTTGCTAAACAAAAGTTCACCACAGGGCTCCAAGTCCAGTGCAGGAGGCAGACACCAGCAGACATCAACCAAGTGATCAGAGATGGCCCAGTGGCAATCTCAGAGGCAGTTTTGGGTCATAGTCCCATCCTTGGCCACATACGTGTTTGGACTCATGAGCAGCACTTGACATTTATTTTCCTCAGTGCTGTTTCACTGCCTGGTTCCCAGCCAGGTGGACAGAACCCCTGACCACTCCCACTCCCCAGACTCTAGGACAGTCTTGAGACACAGCTAGGCAAGGTGAAGCAGGGGAGGCTTCTAGGTGAGAGGCCCTAGGCAGATGAGAAGGAAAGTGGGTACAGGGAGGTCTTGGCTACTACCTCTTTCCTCCAGTTCCCCAGACCCCTCCATGAACCCTTGAACTCTGCAGAGCCTTTGACCCTGTGCCCCACACCCATCTACCCAGGTGGTGATGGCTGCAGCCAATGGAGACAGAGACCGGGTCCTGCAGAAATCCCAGGACCTCAAATTCCTCACAGGCTTTGAAACCAAGGTTGGGAGTCACTGGCGGAGTAGGGGATGGGGTCTGTTGTGAGGGAGTGAGGGAGGGCATGGGGGCTGCTTACTCTGCTGGGGAACTCTGGGGGAATGGGGAACTGCTGATCTATACTTGGGGTCTCTGGGGAGGAGTCGGGGAATGGAGCCTGCTTCTCTGGTCTGCAGAGGGAGGTCTGCTTGTGTATTGGAAGCTCTGGGAAGGAGTGAAGGGCTGTTTCCTTTGCGAGGAATTGGGGGCTGATTGCTCTCAGAGGGCTCTGGAAGGAGTCTGGGGCTTGTGTTTATAGTGGACATTGTGAGGGAGCTGAGCTGCTTGTTAGGTCTGGGTTAAGTGGAGGGATGTGCCTCTGCTCTCGCCCACCCCTAGGCATTCTCCGATGCCCACGTGGAGGCTGTAATGATCCTGGGAGAGCCCTTCGCCACCCAGGGCGCGTATGACTTCGGGGCGGGGGATACTGCCCGCCGCGTGCAGGCCCTCATCCCGGTGCTGCTGCAGCACCGGCTCCGCCCACCGCCTGAGGAGACCTACGCCCTGCACCGCAAGCTGGCGGGGGCTTTCCTGACCTGCGCCCGCCTCCGCGCCCAGATCGACTGCCGGGACCTCTTCCAGGACACCTACCACCGCTACTGGGCCGGTCGCCAGGCTCAGGCACTGCCTGAAGCCTCCTGACCAGAGGGGCGGTCTGGTCAGACCCCTCAGACAGCTTCACTCCGGGGAATCCGGCCAGTAGAGGGCCATCCTTTCCACTCCGTTCCGGTCTGGGGACACCTCCCTTGGGTTCCCAGTCTGGCCTAGCATCCTTCGCTGGGGGCTGGGGATTGGGAAATCCTGGGGCTAGGAAATTCCCCACTTCACACTCCCATATCCTGCTCTACCCACCCCAACGTGGGCATCAAGGAACTCCAGGGATTAACTTATTTTTGCAAACATTTGAGAGATCGTCAGGCATCCTGCGCGCCTTGTGGAGATGCAGACTCATCTAGAGGGAAGCCCCTCGCCTGCCTCTCCGGTCTCCCACAGATCTGGCCAGTGAGAAGGGAGGGGTGTTAGCTGGAGGCACCCTTCACCTTTGCCTCCATCATCCCTCAACCAGCTGCTTTTTCCTCGCCCATCCTCTCTCGTGTTGGGGGTGTTTGAACCTTCAGTCTAAATAAAAGCAGCCCTCCCCTTCCCCAGCTCTTTTCTCTGTGCTGGGTCGGGAGGAGCTCGCGGACAGCCTCCAGGTGCAGATGGCCAGCCCCCTCCCCTCCCACCCTCTTGTCTGAAAGCCCCGGTCCTGCCTGGGCCATCTGTTGCCGGGGACCTCCTTCTCCCCTTTCCCGCCCACCCCCAACCCCTCCCGCACGTGCAGACCACCTGCTCGTAAGACTGCGGCAGCTGAGAAGGCATCGCCCCCACACCACCACCCTGACGCGCCGGCTCCCAGCAACCTCGCCTTTGCTAATGGGTCTTAATGCCCCTGCCAGCTGCTTTGCCAGACCCACAGGCTAGGGCGGGAGTGGGGGCGCCGCGGCAGACGGAACCACTCCCTAGTCCCAGCCCAGCGTCCCCCTGCCGCCCCCCACCCCGCCTGTGCCGAACCGACCGCACACGAGAACGCCGGGGTCTATTCGTTCCCCTCCCATTCCTTGCAAAAAGTGCCTTGTCACTGCTTCTGCCAGCCCCCGCTGGGATGGGAAAACCGTGGGGTTAGCGGGAAGACAGGATGTGAAGCGGCGAGACGCTTCCCGAAGCAACTCTTTCGGACACAGCACTGAAGGAGACCTAGGTCAGGGGTCACCTAGGAGAAGGGAGTCCAGGCTTCGAAGGACCCCGGGGGAAACTCCGCGAGGCTCACGTGCAAGCTCAGCCGGGGACTAGCCAATGGGCGTGGTGGGGCGGTGGCCGTACGGGAGAAGGCGGGGTTATATTTGCGTATAGGCGTGGCCTGCGGGCCAAGGGGTGGGGTCTTTGTGTATATCCAGCAGGCGGCGGGCCAGTGGGCGGGGCCGGGGCGGGGAGCCGAGGCGAGGGGGCGCTCCCCCGCCCCCAGAACGGAAATCTCCGGGAGCGGAGCAGGCTCGCGGGCGAGCATCCCGCACCATCCCTGGGTCTCTGGCCTCGGCAAGCGTCGGACAGAGCTGCCGCCGCCGGCGCCGCAGCCGCAGCCGGAGCCGCAGCAGCAGCACTCGGGGATACGGGCCTAGCAGGGGCCGCGGGAGGCGGGGGCACCCGGGCCCTGGATGTCCGGGAGCGCGGCGGCCAGCGTGAGAAGGGCGGGAGAGTGGGGCTCGGGTAGGGGGGCGGCGCCGCTGCTGATGTGGCGGAGGGTGGGAGGCGGCCGCGGCGCCCGGATGGAGATGATGCCAATGCTGGCGAGGGTGGTCCTGGGTGGGTGTCCACGAACAAGCCCCCACCGAGCCAAAGCTTGGGAGACACAGGCCCTCCCTGGGTCCCGGACACAGAACTCCCCCTCAGAAAAATCAAGGACAGGGGACAGATGTTCTGTACAACTCCCTAGGCAAGATTTTGGGGATGGGTCCGGGACACAACCCCCGGATGAAGCCAAGGCCTCCTGGAGGCGATTCCGGACCAGACGCCAACCAGACTCGTCCCTGTCTGAGGGGGGCCTCTGAGCACAACAACCTTCTAGGCAAGGTCTTGAGGGGTCCCTGGGCACAGCTTCCCTCCCAAGCCAAGGCCTAGGAGGATTTCAGGCAGTCTGTCCTCACGTCTCAGAGTCCTGGGCACAGCATCCCCCCAACCCCCATCCTTGGGCGGTGTCCCAGGAACAGCCCCTTCTCAAAACAAGGCCCCTGTGCCTGGGACTCCACTCCCACCCCAGCCTGAATAAAATTAAGGAAATTTCAGTCACCTCCCCTCCTTGATCAAGGGTCTCAGGGCACACAGGTCCCTGGGACACCCCCTTTGTCCCTTGGGCTGCCCAGCTGGCTGGGAGTGGCCCCACCCTCGGATAATGCGCTGGCCCCTCAGGCTCCAGGATTCATGCTGGGAGGGGGAGGAGCGGCTTCCCAGGGACCGGGTGCAGCCTTGTCTGTCTACAGCATCTGAGGTGATGGCGGCTTTGTGTGTGGTACCTGGAGGGGAGGGGGGAAGCAAAGGATGGGGAGGTGGCTAAGAGCATGACCCCGTGTTTGTGTGACTGGCTCTGCGTGTCTGTGCTACAGTTGGTGACTGCGAGGAATCCTGTGTGTGTGCCTGTTTTGTGCTTGTGGTTGTGTCTGTGAGTGACCTGAGCGTTTGTGTGACTATGTATATGTGTATGACAACGGCTAACTGTGCAAGAACCCTGTACTTTTAGTCTATGTTTGGGTGTGTGCATGGTTGTGACTGTGGAGTTGTGTCTGGGGTTCCTTCTGTAGTGACCCTGTGTGTGCCTTGGAAACTGTGACTGGGTATGAGATAGTGTGTGTGTTGAGTCTGAGGTTGGACACGAGTGTGGCTGACTGAAGAAATGGGTGGAGTTGTGACTGTGTGTAAGTGGAGTTGTGTCTACAACTCTGTCCATGTGCGACTCTCCTAGTGACTGTGAACATTTGTGGTTATATCTATGACTGATGTTATATTTGTGTCACACATGGGTCTATGTGACAGACAATGTCCTTGCAACTCTGGGTGTGTGACTGCCATTATATATGAAGTCAGTCACAGTGTGCCTATGTGACTGGGGTTGAGTGATGGCATTGCGATTTCTATGTTTGTACGACTGGTTATGTGTTCAGAGCCATGTCTGTGAGTGTGACAGGTTGTATAAATGATGGCATCCAGCTCTGTGTGTTGATACTGAGTGATCATGTGCATTTCTAATCGTGAATGTGTGATTGGCTTATGTACTTGCCTTGGGGTCTGAAACCCTGGCTGACCACTAGTAGTGGGTTATTTCACTATATCTGACAAAATAGAGCTGTGTCTATGTGTGATGGAATCAGGTTACTGTGTGTGTTGGGAGTGTGTGTGTAGGTGACTAGGGCTTCTATATTGTTTGTGATCTGCCTGTCTGTGGCCCTAGATGACTATGTGTACCTGTGTCTGTGTCATGGGCCGTGAGAGTATGTCAGTAGCTGAGTAGGTGTTTGGTGTGTGTGTGTCTGCATGCATGCTGCACTATTTGTGTTTGAGCATATGATTCGGTGACTGGGTGACTGTCAGGAGCTGTGTTTTTTGCATAAGCACAGCTATAAATGCTATGTCTGGGTCACTGCATTTCAGAGCATGCACCTGACTGTGTGCTTGTGGTATGTGAAATAGAAATTGTATGCTGATGTATCTGTGTGTGAGATATGTGTCTGGCCACATGTGGCTGTGATTGCACGAGTATGTGGCCACTTGTCCGTGTGACTTGTGTGTTTGGATGAAGAGAGACTGGGTTTCTCTGTGATGCTATGATGTGGTACCATTGGGTATGGGATACTGGGTGACAGTATTATAGTTGTGATATATGGCTGAGTAATGTGGATACTGATGTTGTGTGACTTTGCATACACAACCACCTCTGAAATGTCTATTGCTGTGACTTTGAACCACTGCCTGTCTGGCCATGTCTGAGTATGGCTATCCTAGGGGGTAGTTGTCTCTTAGTGGCTATGCGCATGTATTAAGTGTGCAAGCCTGTGTCCCTATAATGCATGGACCATGGCCACCAGTGTCTCTGTGTGATTGGGGATGGAGGACTGTCCATATAAGTTAGTTGATACTGTGACTAAATGCGAGCTACTGTCACTGGGTATGTGTGACTGTGACAGTGTGTGACCAAAAAGTGTGTTGGTGTGACTGATACAAGGGGTTGAGTGTCCATGTCAGCTGTGTGCCTGTAGATGATTAAACATGTGGCTGTAACTGGGTGTGGCTTTGTGTGATCAAATGTGTATATATCTGCATGCACCTATGACCAGATGTCAACACACAGCAGTGGAGCTATGTGTGACAAGTGGGGCTGTTTGTGTCTTTGTGACTGGGTGTGATTCTATGTGGGAGGGTCTGTGACGTGAGTATCTTGGGTGACTGCCTGAGGAAACATAACTGTCATTGGGTGTGGCTGTACATGTGCCACTTGGGTGGGTTTGCCTGGGCCCAGCTCTTTGTATGTGGCTGAGAAAGTAGAAATGACCACACATCAGTATAGCTGATGTGACCAGGTGTCTGTGGCAGTGCCTAGGCAGGCTGGGACTCCATATGCATGAAGACACATGTCTGTAGTGAGACTGTACATATCTGTGAACATGGCTATGTGGCAAGATGTTTGTAGTGGTTATAACTGTTTATGTGTGTCTGGGTGACCTGGTATGTACAGTTGGGGTTGTGTCTATAACTAAATGTGCAGAGCTGTGACCCAGTGCTAGGGACCACTGTAGGCAGGAGTTGCATGCAGACCTGTGAGGGTACGTTCGTGCAGACCTGAACATTAGAGGGCAGTGCTACTCCCTCCTCACGCCACATCCCCATGGTACTGAGGGCTTCCTGAAACCAGGAGGTCCCCTAACAAATGCCCCCACATGCACTCACTCATTCCTGGGCCCTTGCAACCAGGTGGCTCATCTCCCTTGTAACAGTTGCTATGACAACCAAGCTCTCATCAGGGAGCCTGAGATGGAGAGGGGTTGGCTGATGTCCAAAGAGGGGGTGAGATAAGGGACTGAGCCCATCCTAAGCCAGCATCTCACCTTTTCTTCTGTCCCTTGAGCAGGGCGGACCCAGAAGGCCTGAGCAGCATCTGTCCCCAGCCCCCTGCGGGGCCCTGGGGCCCCCTGAAACCTCCAGGACGGAGCCAGGTGAGTGACCAGCTGGATATAGGGCAGGGACTGAGTGGGTGGGTGGGTCTAACATGATTAGAGGAACTGTCCCTGCAGTCACACAGGCCTAATCACACTCATGAAGGGACACCCTCAGACCTCTTCCCTGCACACTCAGTGACCATTCAAGCCCAACTCACGCACAGACACACACACCTAAGCTATGTTACACACACACTGGGACATTCAAAGACACATTGACCTCCCCACACACACAAGTGCAGGGTCACACAAACATATAGACACATTTCCAGACAACACCCAGACTCTTTTCAGACAGGTGGCTACAGACACTAAGCAGATACTGACTCTAAGATAGTGACAACATATACAGACAACATACACAGACCCACACTTTGGCAGACAACAGCCAAACTTCCTCAAGCCGACACTGCCTCACAGACACCATCTGTGGACCCATTTTCTCATGAAGAGCTATACTTCTAGCCCTGGCTGGTGTGGTTCAGTGGATTGAGCACCAGCCTGTGACCCAAAGGGTCACAGGTTTGATTCCTGGTCGTGACACATGCCTGGGTTGCGGGCCAGTTCCCTGGTTAGGGGTAATGCGAAAGGCAACCTATCAATGTTTCTCTTGCACATTGATGTTTCTCTCCCTCTCTTTCTCCCTCCCTTCCCCTCTCTAAAAAATAAATAAAATCTTTTTAAAAAGCTTTTTTAAAAAAAGAGAGCTGCACTTCACACAGACATGGTCTCACAAATAACAGTCATGAACAACTCTAAAAATCAACAGCCTCACATTCTCACACAGCCTCGCAGATGCATGGGGACATACTGACACGCCCTCAGAACCACACTCATGGACCCACCTCTACAACAGCCACATGCTCTGACACAGATACACCCTTAACAAACAAGAGCTGCAGTCTTGGACACAGACATAGTCTCTTGGGTAACTTCAATACATACTCTCATCAATGACAATAGCCAAACCCTCACACAGGTATACAACTTCAAAGACAACGGCTTCCTCCTCAGAGACACATCCTCACCTCACTAGCAACATTTCCTGACACACTCACAACCATTCCCACATAGATACCCTTCAGCAACAACCTTCACAGGCTTATACTCACAGACAACTACCACATTCCTGGACATAGATCCCCTCCTGGACAGCATGCACAGACACATGCTCTAGGAAACAACCACTCTCAGACCCACATCTTTCCATACAGCCTTCAGAAATACACATACCCTCACAGACACCCTCACAGACACCATGCAGGAACACACCAGCCACATACCTGCACACACACGCAGTCCCCATCTGCTAGCCCTCCTGGGACTGTCAGGATGGCTTATCAGTGAAGAGTGTTTGAGTCAATGAAGATTGTCTTAGTAGCTGGCCTTCTCCACCCTTAGCCATTCCTCTGAAAGTCACAGGTGCTCACTGCCCCAGGGTCCCCTGCTTTAGACGAGACACAGTTGTCAGAGGGGCAGTATCTCGAGCACAGAGACAAGCCACTGCTCTCCATACCCTCTGGCCTTGGCTCTGGACCTCAGTCTCTGGACCCTCTAAGACACCCGCGATGTTGGAACCAGGCAACTCCCAACACCTGTTCCCTCTGACTGCACCCCTGACCTCATTCCCTTAAAGCCCCTGACCTTGTGACCCCGACTTCATGCCCTATAATCCCAGGACTCTCACACAGTGCCTTGACTTCCCATTACTTTGTATCCTCATGATTCTAGACTGTCATGCCCCCAATCTCCAGGCCCCTGAAAGCTGTGACCCCTATCCCAGGCCTCCCTGCCCCTCAGCTCCATGGCTTCTGAATCCCCACACTGACTCTTGCACTCCCCTACCTTGTGTCTTTCCCGTTCCCGGTGTCCCCTGACTGCTGCTGATCCAAGTTCCCCGAAGGCCATGTCTTCTGATCCAGTGACCCCCTAACCCTGGAACCCCACTCCCTTGTTATCTGACTCCATGCTCACTGGGCACTGTGTCAGCTCCCTGAGCACTGTGTATCCTCTGACCCCAGCCTTTGACCTACTCCCTGTCCTGTGTCACCAGACGGGACAGGTACTATGAACAAGTTACGGCAGAGCCTGAGGCGGCGAAAGCCAGCCTACGTGCCCGAGGCGTCACGCCCGCATCAGTGGCAGGCGGATGAGGATGCAGTGCGCAAGGGCACATGCAGCTTCCCTGTCAGGGTGAGTGGACGGAGCGTGGCTGGGGGCGGGCCGCATGCCGGTCCTAATTGGGTAAGGTCCTGCCCACTGTGGCAGAGACTGCGCATCCACAAAGAAGTGTAGAGCTTGCTGATGCATGACCCTACAACTTGAGTCCTTTAGAGTTGGGATTAAAAACCAACACACTTTCTCTTGTACCAGGAAAATGTTACCTGGGGGCTGTCCTGCTTGGGTCATCCCATTTTGTGGGAGCTAACAATTTCTAGAGGGCACTGGAAGGTCACAAAAATTTTGTAGCATTTGCAAAGCCCTCCATGACCCTTTACAATGCACACTACTTTTATAAGGGAGACAGCAAGTTCATGTTCAAATTCCAGCTTGGTCCCTTCCTCCAGATGCAGACCTTGAATGTGAGGGGTCCCTTGGGGAGGTGTGGGAAATGCTGTTGGGAACGGGGAAGGGAAGGCAGCCAGTCAGTGGTAGGTCACTACACTACAGCTTTGGGCAGCTGAGCTTAATGCCCCTGGGGGCTTTGGGAAATAGAGCCACCGCCCACAGTGGGAGGAAACTGGGGTGTGCGCACCCCAACTCCCATCAGTCATTTCTGAGGCCAATCCTCAGGTGCAGAGGTGCAGATGCTGGCACTCAGAAGGACAACAGTGACAGGCTAAGGGCAGGCTGGGAATCACCACCGCATTCTGTGCTTCCGTTTCTCATCTGTGTATCTGGGATGGGAACGGGGGACCTACCTTGTAGAGCTGAGGTGCAGAGTAAATGAGTGCTAAACATGTAGGATGTGCTTAGGACATTGTGTGATGCATCACAGCTGCTCCGGGGACACTAGGAATTACTGATTACTGTGCTTATTTGATGTCCTCCTGTTTTTCCTCCCTCCCAAGTACCTGGGCCACGTGGAGGTGGAGGAGTCCAGGGGGATGCATGTGTGTGAGGATGCCGTGAAGAAGCTGAAGACAGTGAGTGAGGGACTGGAGCAGGGAGGGGCAAGGTCAGACCAGAAGAGACAGCCCCGATCACACCCTCTATCCTTACCTTCCCCCCAGATGGGCCGGAAATCCGTGAAGTCAGTCCTGTGGGTGTCAGCTGATGGGCTCCGAGTGGTGGATGACAAGACCAAGGTAGGAGCTCATGGGGGTGGAAGAGGGCACCAGAGTGCCCCTTTCCTCACCCTGCTCAATGGGACCAAGGATGCTTTCCTACCCACCTCTAGGTGGTCCCTCCCTCAGGGACCTTCTAGACTACTCAATGAGCTTCTGTAACATTCGGTACACCTCAGTCGTGCTCCAGGACTGAGTCCTGTGGTTATTTGTGAGCTGACATAGTGAGTGAGAGCAAACTGGAGCAGCTGCCTTGGCTCCAGTCCCACCAGCTCTCCCACTTATCAGCTCGGTGACCCTGGGTATGAGATGCAACCCTTCTGTTCCTCAATTGCGTCATCTGTAAAATGGGGATGATAAAAGACCCTACCATGACCTGTGAAAGTATATCACACAACTAGGTGTTTCCTCACCGAGAATGATTTATTCAGGAAAGAGTTGCAACCTAATGCAAGCAGACATGGCCAGTCTCGTGAACACTCTGGCCTGTGGGCCAAGATGGAGGAATATTTATAGAAGGAAAAGGAAGTTAAGGGAAGAGGAATTTAGAATCATAGAGCTTTATTATAAACATAGAGTTCTTCCTGTAGGGTTCTTGCATTCAGGGTTCTTGCAATTACATAGTGTGAGAACTTCCATAAGCCCTAACTCCACCCATAGACAGTCCCAACTGGTTATTTGCTTGAAATTGCTGTTAGTCTTTATCACCTGGTACAGTGTAAGTATTCAGATGAATGAATGTTAGCTGTTATGTGTGTATTGTCAGTCTACCCAGCCAGACAGGATGCTATGGGGCCAGGATCTGGGTATCTATTTGCTCGCTTCTGAATTCCCTGCATCCAGCCCAGAAACGGCCAGAGAGGGCAGCTAGCACATGACGACAGTTCTTAGGTTAATGACTGAACAGTGTTGATAGCTTTGCACAGGCAGTTCCCTCAGCCTGAATTACTGTTCCCTGACTTTTGCCTCTAGGAAGCTTTGCCTGACTCCATTCCCCCACCCAGGCTGGGTCAGGCACCTCCCCTTGCCTCCTGCCAGCCCCCGGGCCTCCCCCATGCCATCCCTGCTGTCTCTGCCTGTGCCTCCCCCCTTACAGCCCTGCTCTGACTCTGGGCTCTCTCCGGGGGAGGACTTGGATTCTGCACTTAATTGGGAGTCCCTTGCCAGCAGGATCCACAGTGACTGCTCGGTGCCTACCCCAGTCAGGATGGGACATAGAGCAGACATGAACGGATGTTGAATGAGTACATGAAAGTTCTCATTTCTCTCCTGGTCTCCCTGACTGCTCCCAGGACCTGCTGGTGGACCAGACCATCGAAAAAGTCTCCTTTTGTGCTCCTGACCGCAACTTAGACAAGGCTTTCTCTTATATCTGCCGCGACGGGACCACCCGCCGCTGGATCTGTCACTGTTTCCTGGCACTAAAGGACTCCGTGAGTAACACCAGGCCAGAGCCTGCTGACTCTTCCCTCCCATTCCCTGGCAGCCCAGCCCCAGCCCCAGCCTGCTCAGTGGAGCCAGACAAGCCACTCGCCCCTCCTCTCCAGGCCTGGTGTCCTCATCTGGAAAAGGGACTGTACTCAGAGCTCCTGACCTAGAGAATCGCTGTTGACTTGAGTAGGTTCATACACAGGATTTAAAATGATGCCTGGCACCTGGGAAGCACTCAGGAAAACACTGGCTATCATCCTCCTCCTTATTACCAGTGGTTCTTCATGTTTCTCTCCCTTTTCTAACTGAGGATCATATGCGTACAGTAATGTGCATTCTGTGTCAAGCTCCATGAATTTTTGCTGCACAGCAAAAATTGACTGGGTGAGGAATAAAGAAAGAACGAAGGGCAGTAAGAGCATCACGCATCAGAAAGGGCAGAGAGCAGGGCAGCCTGGGGACACTGCACCAGGGACAGTTCCTTCAGGGCACAGTTGTGAGATGAACCTGCCTCCCAATGCTCTGGGTTCAGCTTCTGGCGAGAGGAGAGGGGCCTGGCCTGGCTTGGGTCACTGGCTTCCACTTGGCCAGGGGAGGATGGAGCACCCAGATTGACTTATCTGGTGTTGAAGTTTCCCAAAGGGAATTTGTGATGCTGTTATCGAAAGCAGGGGGATAATGGGCAAGTGAAACAACACGTGTACCTTGCAGACCTTAACAGTCTCCACTCAAGGGTTCCTTCGGATTTCAGAAATCCCCACTGTCAAGAGCTCTGCACCCCCAAAAATGAGTCGATACCCTCAACTTCCTCACTCATACACACAATTTCAGACCTGAAACCAGGGGTGTCAGTACTGGTTAGTCAGTACAAATTGGGGCCTGCCAAGGGCTAGTGTGGAGATTTGTGAAGTGCAGAGACCGTAGCAACTGCTCTTTCTGGTGAATAGCATAGTAGTTGTCTCAGTTATCTGATATGCATAACAAATTTCTCCAAAATTTGGTGACTTAAAATTTCAACCACTCATTATCTTTCATGTTTCTGTAGGTCAGGAATCTGGGAAAGGCTCAGCTGAGTGTGGCTCCAGGGTCTCCTCACACTGTTGCAATCAGATGGTGTGTGGAGCTGTCACACCGGGAGACTGGCAGACTCTCACTGTGTGGCCTCGGGACCTCTCCGCAGGGTCTCCACAGCATGGAAGCTTGAGGAGAGCTGGATTTCCTACAGGAAGGCACAGGGCTCCAAAACAGGGAGGGGCAGAGGGAAGGAGAGTGAGGGAGAGAGATTGCTGCAGCACCAGGTCCTAGCCAGGGGGAAGCTGTGTTGCCTTTTTGGACTTGGTCTTGGAAACCACAGCATTGCTTCTGTGGTATTCTATTTGTCCAGACAATCACAGAGGTCTTCCTAGACTAAGGGAAGAGAACACAGACCCTACTTCTGCTGAGGAATGACAAGGTTATGGAAGAGCATGTGGGGCTAGAAATTTGTCGCTACTGTTTTTAGGTTTGGGGTTTTTTCGGCTGGGCATAGTGGACTTTATTGATGGTGCATGACAAGGTAGGGCTCTCTACCTCCCGTTCTTCACAGGGTCTAGGATGGAAACTGGAGGTTAGGAGATTCTCAGTGTGCTGGGGCCTCAATTTGGGGCAAGGACTCCCCAACAGCTGAGGGCCTCTCTTCCTCATGCTGGGGCTGGTGATCCAGAGGGCTCTTATTCCTTGAGGCCATAGGGACCTATAAGGTCTACCACCCTGTTACTGTAGCCAAATTCATTGTCATACCAGGAAATTAGCTTGACAAAGTGGTCATTAAAGGTAATGCCAGCCCCGGCATCAAAGGCAGAGGAGTGGATGTCACTGTTAAAGTCACAGGAGACAACCTGGGCCTCAGTGTAGCCCAGGATGCCCTTGGGGGGGCCCTCTGATGCCTGCCCCACTACCTTTTTGATGTCATCGTGTTTGTCAGCTTTCCCTAGGCAGCAGGTCAGATCCACAACTGGCATATTGGAGGTGGGGACATGGAAGACCATGCCAGTGTGCTTCCCGTTCAGCGTGGGGATGACCTTGCCCACAGCCTTGGCCGTGCCAGTAGAAGCAGGGATGGTGTTCTGGGCGTCCTTGTGGCCACCACGCCACAGCTTCCCTCAGGGGCCATCTGCGTTCTTCTGGGTGGCAGTGATGGCATGGACTGCAGTCATCAGTCCCTCCATGATGCCAGTGTTGTCATGGATGACCTTGGCCAGGGGGCCATGCAGTTGGTGGTGCAGGAAGCATTGCTGGCAGTCTTGAGGGAGTTGTCATACTTGCCGTGGTTCATGCCCATCACAAACACGGGGGCATCTGCAGAAGGGGCAGGAACCTCTTGGTTCCACCCTTCAAGTGAGCCCCAGCCTTCACGGTAGCGAAGACATCGGTGGACTCCACAACACACTGAGCACCAGCATCACCCCATTTGATGTTGGCAGGATTTCACCCCTGGAAGATGAAAGATAGAGATGTTGCTCAGTCAGCTGAGCAACATCACTCAGGGCTTTTCCCATTTTTAAAATGTTTTTTAGATTTTATATATTTATTCATTTTTTAGAGATAAGGGAAGAGAGGGAGATATAGAGGAAGAGAAACAACAATGTGCCAGAGAAACATCCATTGGTTGCCTCTCACACACCCCCAGCTGGGGACCTGGCCTGCAACCTAGGCATGTGCCCTGACTGGGAATTGAACCAGAGACCCTTTGGTTCACAGGCTGGCGCTCAATCCACTGAGCCACACCAGCCAAGGCAGCTTTACCCATTTTTAATTGTCTTTTCATTGTTGAGTTGTAAGAGTTTTTTGATGTTGCTGTTGTTTTTAATTTATTTTTAGAGAGATGAAGAAGGAAGGAGAAAGAGAGGGAGAAAAGCATCAATGTGTGGTTGTCTCTTGCGTGCCCCCTAGAGGGACATGGCCCGCAACCCAGGCACATGCCCTGACTGGGAATCGAACCAGAGACCCTTTGGTTCACAGGCTGGCACTCAATCCACTGAGCCACACCAGCCAGGGCTGTAAGAGGTTTTTTTATATGTTTTGGATACTAGACTGTTGCCAGCTAAATGATTCACAAATTTTCCCCCATTTTGTGGGTTGTCTTTTCACTTTCTTTTTTTAAAATACTTTGTTTGTTTATATTTAGAGAAAGGGAAAGGAAGGGAGAAAGAGCAGGAGAGGAATATTGATGTGAGAGAGAAACATCAATCAGTTGCCTTTTATATGTGCCCCAACTGGGGACTGAACCCCAGCTCAGGCATGTGCCCTGAGCAGGAATCAAACTGGCAACCTTTCACTTTGTGGGGTAAGCCCAACCAACCAAACCACACTGGTGAGGGTTAACTTTCTTGATAGTGTCCTTTAGTGAAGAAACATTTTAAATTTTGGTGAAGTTCAGTGTTTTATCTATAAAATCCCATGTTTTATTCTAAGAGTTTTATAGTTTTAGCTCTTACATTTAGGTCTTTGATCCATCTTGAGTTAATTTTTATAAATGGTGTGAGGTAGAGGTCCATCTTCATTTTTTTCCCATGTGTATATCTGCAGTGCTAGCACCATTTGTTAAAGAGACTATCTTTTCTCCATTGAATAGCCTTGGCCCCAATATTTCTAAGAGAATCAATTGACTGTAGATGTGTGGGTATATATCTGGGCACTCAGTTCTTTTCATTTGGTCTGTATGTCTATCCTTATGCCAATATCACACTTTTTTTAATTACTGTAGCTTTGGAGTAAGTTTTGAAATTGAAAAGTGTTGCTCTTTTTCAAAATTGTTTTGTCTCTTTTGGTCACTTGCATTCCCATATAAATTTTAGGATTGGCTTTTTCATTTCTGTAATAGTCCATTGGAATTTTGATAGGAGTTGCTTTAAATCTCTAGATCACTATGGGAAATATTGCCATCCTAATAAGATGAAGTCTTGCCGTCCATGATCATAAGATGTTCTATTTATTTAGGTCTTCTTTAATTTTTTCAGTAAGTTTTTAAAAAAAGATTTTATTTATTTATTTTAGGGAGAGGAGGGGGGAAGGAGAAAGAGAGGGAGAGAAACATCAATGTGAGAGAGAAACATCAGTCAGTTGTCTCTCACGTGCCCCCAACTGGGGGCCTGGCCCACGACGCAGGCATGTGCCCTGACCGGGGATCACACTGGTGACCATTTGTGGGATGACACCCCACCCACTGAGCCTCACCAGTCAGGGCCTCTTTCAGTAATGCTTTGTAATGCTTTGTAGTTTTCAGTATTTATGTCTTTCATTTCCTTGGCTATACTTATTCCTAACCACTTTGTTCTTTTAGATGGTCTTGCAAATGAAATTATTGTATTAACTTCATTTTTGGATTATTCACTGCTAGTGTACATAGATGTGACTGATTTTTGTTGATCTTGTATCCTGCATCTTTGCTGAATTCATTTACATTAATAATTTGTAGATTCTTTAGGACTTTCCACATGCAAGAGCGTGTCATCTGCAAATAGAGATAATTTTAGTTCTCCCCTTCCAGTTTGGATGCCTTTTACTTCTTTTTCTTGTCTAATTGCTCTGGCTAGAACTTCCAGTGTAGTGTTGAATAAGAGTGATGAAAATGGGCATTCTTGTCTTGTTCCTGATCTTAGAGAAAAACTTTCAGTGTTTTACCATTGAGTATAATGTTAGCTGTGATTTTTTCATAAATGTCCTTTGGTGGGTTGAGGAAGTTTCCCTCTATTCCAAATTTGTCAAGTGTTTTTTTAATCATGAAATGGTATTGAATTAGTCGAATGCTTCTTCTGCATCAGCCAAAATGATCATGTGGTTTTTTTCTCCATTCTGTTAATGTGTATTACATTGATTTTCATGTGTTAAACCAGACTTTCATTCCTGGGATAAATCTCACTTGATTGTGAGGTGCATAATCTCTTTAACATGCTTCTGGGTTCAGTTTGCAAGTGTTTTGTTGATGATTTTTGTCCCCAAGTTTAACTTTAAGAGGTAGCTGAGCATCTTGGTTAGGAAACAGAAATCTGACAGATCTTAGGAGAATTCCAATTCTGCCACTCATTATGATGAGTGTATCAACAGAGCCTCAGTTTCTTCATCTGTAAAATGGGTTCATAACAGTGTGTGCCTCCTGGCATTGCAGGGAGGATTTCTAAAAGCATGCAAGTCAGGGCTCAGGCTGGGCTGGATACATTCACACTTGACACATTTTATGACATTTCTCTATGCTGTATGCCTTGCATATGTTAGTTTACTTAATTCTTGCCGTAACCCTGTGAAGTAGGGGCTGTTAGGGAGCACCTCATTTTACAGATGAGGAGGCTCAGGCACTGAGAGGTAGAGAGAGTTTCTTGAGAACACGCAACTGGAAGTAGGAAACCAGCATCAGTCCAGGCTGTCTGGCCTTGGTGCCTCTCAAGTAGGCACGCAGGGAATGGTGAATGTCGTTTTTTACTCCCAATGTTTTATTAGAAAATGGTTTTCTGACACATAGCAAAGTCAAAAGGCTTGTACAATAACCAGTCACCTATACACATACCACCCAGTTCCTGCCATTCACATTTGTCTGTGCTCACTCTACACTTATCTGTCCATCTCATTTTTGATGCATTTCCAAGTTGCAGATACCAGGATCCTTTTCCAAACACTTCAGCGTGCATACCATTAAGCTGAATTCATATTTTTCCAGCTCTTTTTAAAAGTAAAACAGCTATTTATTAAGCATCTTGTCATGCCAAATTGTTTTGTGCACATACCACTGTACTGAGCACACCCTCTGTAACAGGCAAAATTGTACATCAAATTACATTTCATGTTACCTGATTATAAAAAATATGAAGTGAAATTATTTCAATTCCTTTTAACATTACTAGTAACCAATTCAGCAGAAGATACGAGGCACAACATTTTAGTAAAATGATACAGAAAGAGCCATCATGTAATTTCCCCTCAAGTTTAACTTGTCATAGTTTGGTAATGAATATACAAAGGTGTAATAAGACCCAGCATATCAGGCCCGCCACTCAACTTGTCTATGATGTCTCAGCTTTAATATGAAGCTATTACAAAAAAAAAAACAACAAAAACTCTGAAACCTGCTTCTCACATGCTAAATATCTTGGCAAGATATTCCTTACCATTAAATGCAGTAAAGAATTAAAGATAGCAAAAATAAAAAGTTAATAAAAGCTAAATATCACAGCCTAAAAATGTTTATATAAAATATAGTTATTATTAGTTATATAACATTTTCCTGACTAGTTAAGACTTAACAGTATAAAATAGGCATTTTAGCATCTTTAGCTATCAAGCTGAAAAAGTACCAGTGTCTGTTTGAAATGATTCCTTTCCAAAGCCAAAGTGTAGTCAAAAGTAATTCAAATGTTATAACACATTCTAATGCTAAAAGTCATTCCATATTGTTAAGTTGGAGGTAAATCCCAGAGCTGTGGAGCTCTCTCGTGCTGTACAAGGCCGTTTCTCTGGTTCACTCAAAGTGGCACACGACAGAGTCCGAGGGTGTCAGTGGTGTCAGAGTCCAGGGCAGCACCGGAGCCGTACCCAGCTGTGACTGCCCCGTGAAGCAGAGCTACAGTGTCCCCGAAAACGGTGCGTGGGGATGAAGGGCAGAGTGTTCGGCTACCTAAAGAAATAGCAAACCACCTCAACCCTCAAAGCTCCTTCCCCAGATAAATAAAGGTAGACTCGGGGAAAAAATTAAAATACACTTATATACAGAGTAAGGATTTTCAAATATTTATGTAATCCCTACTTCAGAAATGTTAACTAGAGTCATCTGGTCATTTCTGTTTACATCTCAGTGATGTTTCCAGACTCAATTTCTGTTGATTTATCATTAGTCAAAAATATTAACTTTATTCCTAAATATCAACCAATAGGTATGACTGCAGTGTATTAGCTTCCAGAGTTATTAGACAATAGAAGAGAAAAAGATGTTCAAGCAGCTGGCAAATACCACAACCCTTTCACACAGCAACATCTGAGTGTCTACTGAACAGTCCAGGAATAATTCTAAAAACAATGAAATTTATCTGTTTTAGTAAATATGTTATAATTTTCACAACTGACATTTCCTCAGACATTGCACTTTCTTTATAAGGGGATCGTGATTTTTCTTAATGTTACAGTGAGTCAGGACTCGCACTAGCAACCTTCTTTTTCTTACCATATTTCTTATGCCTCTTTTTTCCTTCTGTTGCTTTTTTCTGTCACTGATTCTTTTTTTACTCTTACCTCCTCAGTATTATCTGATTCTGATCAGGATACATCTTTTCTCTATTTGCCAAGTCAGGTACAGTTGTCCCACCTATTTCCCCGTCGCTCTCCCCTGCCCTACCCTCTCCACAGTCAGGTCCGCGCCCGGAGCCTTCTATTTCTTGACTTGCCCCTTCCCCTACTTCTTCCCGTTACCCCCCACCCCCTTCCCCTCTGGTCACTGTCAGTTTGTTCTTTATTTCAATGCCTCTGGTTCTGTTTTGCTCATTTGTTTGTTTTGTTGATTAGGTTCCACTTATAGGTGAGATCATATGATATTTGTCTTTCACTGCCTGGATTAGTTCACTTAGCATAATGCTCTCAAGTTCCATCCATGCTGTTGCAAAGGGTAGGAGTTTCTTCTTTCTTTCTGCTGCATCATATTCCAGTGTGTAAGTGTTCCAGTTTTTTGATCCACTCATTTACTGATGGGCACTTAGGCTGTTTCCAGCACTTGGCTACTGTAAATAACACTGCTATGAACATTGGGGTGCATAGGTTCTTTTGAATTGGGGATTCTGGATTCTAAGGGTATAATCCCAGCAGTGGACTCACTGGATCAAAAGGCAGTTCCATCTTTAGTTTTTTGAGGAAATTCCACACTGTTTTCCGCTGTGGCTGCACCAGTCTGCATCTGTTGCATCTTTTGATTTCTCTTCCATTTTTTAAAACTCTCCTTACTCTCTGATTCAGTATCCGACCTGGAGCTTTCTGAAGATTTATGTGAATGGTTTCTTCTTTTCATTTTTTCCTGGTTTCTTATTCACATCTTCAGAATCTGAAGAACTGTTGGAAGAATAGAACTTGAAGTAGAAGATAAATATCTACCAGGTTTCTTTCCTGTTTTCTTTTTTCTTTCTCTGTCTTTTTTCTGGAGAGGGCGACAAGCTCCCACTTCCACTTAATAATTTCTCCCTATATTTTTCTAGGTCTTTCTTCCAGTTCTTATTCATTTTTTTCTTCAAATTCAGCCAGTGCCTTGGAGCTTTTCTTTCTCTAGTTGTTCTTTTATTTCTTCCCAGGTGGCGCATGGTCGATTCAGGTAATTAACTTTGCATTGTCAACCCTGAAGACTGGATTGAACCCCTGGACCTGGCCATTGCTCTTGGGATTACGTTGGCCTCGTGGCTGGCCCGTGGCACTGAGCTGAGCGCACAATCAGATCTCGAAGGGGACCAGACCAGCGGAGCGTCTGGAGCGGCCCCCCAGCTCTTTTTATTTGGAAAAAACCACACGCTATCCACAAACCTTAGACACACTTTTGCTGAGCTCTGTCAACTGCACACACCTTTGGAGCCCCCAGCCCCTGTCGAGCTCTGAAACGCAACCCCACCCCAGTCCCTCCTCCCTGTCCCTTCCCAGTCAGTCCCCTCCCCGTCCCTGAGGAAACAGCCACTGTTCTGACTTTTTTCACAATAGATCAGTTTTGCCTGTTTTAGGACTTAATACAAATGGAGGCTTACAGAATTGTACTCTTTTTCTTTCTTTTTTTAATTCCCATCTCCCCACTCCCCTTCTCCTTGGCAAAACGAGCTTGTTCTCTGTGTCTATGAGTCTGTTTCTGTTTTGTTTTGTTCATTTATTTTGTTCTTTAGATTCCACATATAAGTGAAATCATTTTTTTTCTTTCTCGGACTGACTTATTTCATCTAACCTAATTCCCTCTAGGTTCATCCATATTGTTGCAAATGGCAAGATTCCATTCTTTTTTATGGCTGAGTAATAATCCATTGTATCTATATATCACATCTTCTTTATCCGTTGTCTATTGATAGACACCAAGGGTCCTTCCTCATTTTGGCTACTATTAGTAATGCTGCAGTGAACATTGGGGTGCATATACCTTTTCGAATTAGTATTTTTGTTTTCTTCAGCTAAATAACCACAAGTGGGATTGCTGGGTTGTATGGCAACTCTGTTTTTAATTTTTCGAGGAATCTCCGCATCATGAACTCTCGTGTATGGCTCTTTTCACTCAGGGCTGTCATTTGGATCCCCCCAAGTGCAGGTATTCACTGAGGCCCGGAGAGGTTGAGGGACTGTCCGGGTCGCCCAGCACTTAACTGCTGGAACCCAGGGCTCGAGCTGTCCAGTCTGCGCAACTCAGCGTCTCTAACCCCCACCCCAACCTCCTCCCACAGGGCGAGAGGCTGAGCCACGCTGTGGGCTGTGCCTTTGCCGCCTGCTTGGAGCGCAAGCAGCGGCGGGAGAAGGAATGCGGAGTCACGGCCACCTTCGACGCCAGTCGCACCAGCTTTGCCCGGGAGGGCTCCTTCCGCCTGTCTGGGGGTGGGCGGCCCGCTGAGCGAGAGGCCCCGGACAAAAAGAAAGGTGGGTGCTGCCCAGAAGGCAGAGCTGGGCACAGGGCCCGGGTGAGGCCGGGAATCCAGTTTACAGGGAAAGCTTCAGAAGTACAGGGACTCCACAGTTTACAAAGCAGAGCACCAACCACAGCGCTGGATTACAGTGTACAAAGCTCGCTGTAGTTTAAGGAGTTCTTGAGGCAACATTCTGTAGGCCACAAATCCCAGCAAAGCCTACCAAGGCTTTATTATCTACCAGCTCAGGGAGGTCCCAGGCTTTTCGAACTGTGTAGGAAAAATGAAATAGAAAACACCAGATTAATCGAATGTGGTAAGGGTAAGTATAGTTTAAAGATACTTTTATTTCAGTATACCCCGTATTTTGCCTTGTATAATGGGCACCTTTTTGCCCAAATTTTTGAGAGAAAAATAAGGGTGCACATTATACAGGGGTAGTACTAATTCTGTATCTATATAAATGTATTTAATTCTTTTATTTATGCTTATGTGCTAGAAGTGTAACTCTAGAAAGCAATAACAATATCCATATGCAAAAGAACACGCTGGAATACAATAATCGGCTTTGTTTCTAAATATAAATAAATAATTTAATTAAAAATTTTAAATGAAAATTTGTTTTTCCTGGAAGTTTGGACCAAAAAAGTGGGTGCATATTATACATGGCAAAATACGGTATATATTTGCATGTGTGCATATTTGTATGTGTGGATGTGGAATGGGTTGCCATATAAAAGGTATTTTTTACTCTGGGTTGCCATCAGGAAAGTCTGAAAAATATCTAATAAACTCTAACATTCTATTTAAATCTGTGGAAAACACTCTTGAAATTTACAAAGAATTTACCATTGGGAACTGTTCCAGATTAAAGGAGTCTAAAGATATTTGACGAACATTAATAAATGTGGTGTGTGGTCCAGAGCTGGATGCTGGATTGTGTGTGTGTGTGTGTGTGTGAGAATATCTATAAAGGTCATGACTGGGATACTTGGGGAAATGGACTTTGGACTGTAGATTGGCTAATAGTACTGTACTCGTGTTAAATTCCTCAAGTGAGAGATTATACTCTAGTTGTGTGTAAGAGACTATTCCTGTTCTTAGGTGCATGCTGAATGTTTCTGGGTTAAGTTGAATGAACGTTACTCTTAAATGGTAGGAAAAAAATTATGGAAGGAAAGAGAGAGCAAATATGGCAACATGTTAACACTGGGCACTGTAGGTTAAGAGAAACTGCATATTCATTTTTCCATTATTACATCTTTTCTGTAAGTTTAAAATATTTCTAACTAAAAGTTCAGGAAAACAGAAACTTTTACCACTTACTATTATTAGAGTTTAAAAAACATGTTTTTATGTGTAAACTACATGACCATTTATAAACCTCTTGACAAATTAACAGTTCTTCACAATGTACAAAGTATTTTACCGTTTACGTTATCAGAATCTGCAAAGAATTTTATCATCGGCAAAGCAGATTACCAAGTGAGGTTAACCAAGGACTGGTCTTTTGGTGTTTTATTGTTTACAAAGAACACACTGAATACATACACGGTCCTTCACAGTTAACAGATATTTTCTTACTGTTAATATAGGAGATTAGAATTTCCAAAGACCGTTGTCATATGCTTTAGAGGTGGCAAAGGGGGCTGTTTGCTGTTTCCAGAGGATGTTAGACTTTCCAGGTACTTTGCACTGTAGAGAGCACTTTACAGCTTGCACAGCAAAATGAGAGTTTACAGAGTGCCTCCCGATGAGCCCGACTGGCCCCGCGGGCTGGCGCTGCGCTTGTGCGGAGAGCGCTTGCTCCTTTTGGAGTAGAGCAGTATGTCCTCCATAGAGTTATTTGCCGAGCTCTTGTCCGATTACAAAGCACAGAACATTTATTGCCCCAACTGACCCTCTGCGGAGGCAAGCGGTGGAGGTGGGGGCAGCAGCAGAGGGATCTTTATCTCAGGTTTACAGTTGGGAAACTGGAGGGGACTTCCTGAGGTCACACAGTGAAGGGGGTGGAAGTGGGGGACAGGGAAGTTTCCTGGTTCCAACCTGTCCCGGGCTGTTTCCACTGCCCTGGGCCAGGCCTGGCTGAGAGCGACACCACCTCAACTTGGAAGATGGGGGAAGAGACGCCGGGTGACTTCCCTGCCCTCTCTGGGCCTGAGTTTAATCTCACGGGCATCTCTCAGGCTGCAGCTGGGGTGAGGCCCCGACTGGGGAGGGTGGGTGGGGGTTTGTGTATTGGCAGGGTTGGGGGGACCCTGCCATTGAAGAGTACACCTTGTGCCCAGTGAGAGGACAGGTGTCCCTCAGAAGACAGAGGACAGTCCCAGAGTGGAGGGAGCCCAGGCTGAGGGGATGAAGAGACCTGAAACCTCCCCAGAGAAAGAAGTGCACTGCGCTGGGTCTAGAAGGGTGGGTAGCAACCAGAGGAAGGAAGGAGGCACTTGAGGTGGGAAGAATAGTGGGAGGTGGAGAGACAGACAGAAGAGCAGACGGGATGACAGACGAAGACAGCATGATGTAGAAAGACCCAGCCAGAAGGAGAGACAGGTCAGGATAATTGTTTGGACTACCGGCTCCAGAGTCAGCCTGCCTCTTGCTCGCACTGGCTTGGGCAAGTCATTTACCAGCTGGGCCGAGTTTCCACATCTGTAAAATGGTGATACTAGTAGTATGGACCTCATTGAGTGGTTGTAAAGGTCGAATGAGTTAATAATTGCAAAGCACTTGGAACAAGGCCTGATACACTCATCACGAACCAACTAAGTGTCTATTAAATTAGTCAGAAAAGGAGACAGAAGGTGTCAAAGGGAAAAACAGGAGAAACAGCAGAGGAAAACAGATTGGTGACAGGAAGCTAAAGGGGCAAAAAAGGTCAGGTTGGGGGACATTTCCTCAAGGGCGCCCTGGGGAAAGCCGTCTTGACTTGGATGGGCGTGAGGGACCATCAAGGCCCCGGCCAGCCTTCTTGAGGCGCGCTACGTTGGGTGAGGAAGGCAGCCTTGGGGGATGGTCAAGGGGGTGAGGCGGGAGAGGCCTCGAATGCCAAGGCGAGCTATCTAACCTCCTGTCTCCCCCATGTCTCCAGCAGAGGCAGCAGCTGCCCCCACTGTGGCTCCCGGGCCTGCCCAGCCTGGACACGTGTCCCCGACACCCGCCACCACATCCCCTGGGGAGAAGGTTGAGGCAGGCACCCCAGTGGCTGCAGGCACCCCTGCAGCTGCCATCCCCCGTCGCCACGCCCCTCTGGAGCAGCTGGTCCGCCAGGGCTCCTTCCGTGGGTTTCCGGCGCTCAGCCAGAAGAACTCGCCTTTCAAACGGCAGCTGAGCCTACGGCTGAATGAGCTGCCATCCACACTGCAGCGCCGCACTGACTTCCAGGTGAAGAGCACAGGTGAGCCCTGGGCTCAGGGGACAGGAACACTGGGATCGATATCACTGTCTGTGTGCACCAGAGAGAGAGAACAGGTGGTAGGGCCCGTAGTTGATTAGCACTGTCTGCTGCTCCCAAAGGGGAGAGAGGTGGGACACATTGTGATCAACTAGCAGTGTCTGTCGCGGGTGAGGGAAAGTAGAGAGGTAGTAGAAATCGTGATGCATTAGCCATGTCTGCTGTGGACAAAGGATCAAAGAAAGGTGGCACAAATCATGATCAGTTAGTGATCTCTGCTGAGGTTAAGGAAAGGCAAGAGGTGGCACACATGACTGATTAGCCGCGGACAGGAGAGGAGGGCAGCTGCACCCACGCCATGCTTTTGTTCAAGAGGAAACTGAGGCACCACAGGCTAATGCTCCCTTCAAGTATTTGCCAGCAGAGTCATGAGATCTGGCCAAGTGAAGAACTGAAGCTGAGAGTAATGGCGGATTGTGACGGATTAACAATGTCTAGGGCAAGGGGACTAGAGTGATGGCTTACATCATGATCTCCTAACAATGTCTGCCGTAACAAGCAAGTGGCACACTGCCTGACTAATTAGCAAAGTTTTCTGTGGGCAGGGGAGAAAGAGAGAGCAACAGAAGTGTTATGTTTTCACCCAAGGACAGACTGCCAAAGGAAACATGAGGCGAAAGGCACGAGTGAGCCCGGTGATGGATTTGTGAAGTCACCTGTGGGCAAAGGACCGGGCCAGGGCAGCACCCACCATCACTGCTCAGTAATGTCTGCCATGGGTGGTGCTAGGAGAGAGGCAGTGTGAGTGTCCTGTTTTGCTTGGAGGGAAGGTGGAGTTACAAGGACCAGCCCCGTCTTCTGGCATCTGCCCAGTAGAGCCATGAGGGCTGGCCAGGTGAGGGGTGAGGGGAGCGAAGAGTCCAGTGTGGGGAGACAGCATTGCCTTTGACAACAGACTGCTGCCACGGGACAGGGACAGGAGAGGGACTGCTGCCACGGGACAGGGACAGGAGAGGTGGCGCCATGCATGCCCGAGGGAGACAGCAGGAGGGCTGCTTTCCCCCCCAGCTGTCAGTGAGGTCATGCAGTCTGGCTCGCTCTCCTGCCTCCAGGCGCCAAATCTGAGACATCTACCCCTCAAGGCTCTGGGGACTGGCGTGGGAGGTGTCGCCCTGTATCCGGGAGGCCAGGCTGCTCCGGAAGGTGACTGCTGAGCAGATGCCAGCGCTTGTTGAGAATGAGGCACTTCACTTCGCGTCACTTCGCGTCCTGCAGCCTCCCTTTTTGGCTGTCCTTCTGCAACCTGACCTGAAGCACACCCCCCAGGGCTGTCCCACATGCTCCCCGAGAGGTGGCAGGCTCCTGAGGCTTTATTTGGAAGCCTTGCTTCTGTAGCCATGTGTTCGCTTGCTTGGATGTGACTCGCCACACAAAAATTTCACTGACTCACACAGGTGTCACCGTTTGCTGCAGGTGTCACACACACTTCATAGTCACACACTTAGTTATGCACACACCAAAATCACACACACTTGGAAGCTGCAATGACCAGATGTTGCAGTTACACACATTTAGAAAGCAGTGACCCAGAAATCATACACCTGGGTTTACACTCGCAAACCACACACCCAGTCCATGCAAACTTGAAAGTCACACATGTCACACTTGGGAATCACAGTCAAGTCACCACAGACCTGGATTTCAGTCACACTCAGATGCTACATCCTTAGAAGATACACACTCATTTGAACTAACACACGCAGTCATCCTATAATTGGCCTGGAAACCAGGTACCCTCCCACCCGTGCGCCCCCTCGTCACCCCTGCTGCCTCCCACTGTTTTTTTCTCATGCTCATTGGAGCCTCACACATGCTCCCCTGGAGACAGACACTTGCTGATGTGTCTCAGGCACTTGTCACACTTGGCGGTCCTGTGTTGTTTATTGTTTATTCGGGCGGTGCCTTGTTCACCCCAGGGGCCCGTGAGGCCGGCACACCCGCTCAGTGTCTTCCTGGCACAGGTGCATCTCTGCCCTCATGATTTGTGTTAGAGGCCCGTCCGAGTGGGTGGACTGGGCCCCACTTTGCCACCCAAAGCAGGACAAATGATCCCCAGCCAGTGAACAACAGTGTGGCCAACATCCATCCTGACTGGTCAGTGCTCTTGCTACATAGGCAGGTAACACATTTTTTAAATTAATACATGTTGGACATTTCACATATCTCTTGGAATGGTTTGTGGCTACAGACAGGTCCTTCTTGAGGTCCTCCCTGATTTGGGGTCCCTGTGACTGTCTGCTGTCCAATTATTTGGAAAATTTCCCAGAGCCAAGAGACCAGAGAAAGAGGCTAACAGCTCCGTTCCCACATCAAGAGTGTAGTGAGGGAACTTACCTATGAGGCACATCCTGGGCAGCAGCAAGACGACATGGATATTCCCGTGCCATGTGACAAGCGCTAAAGTTTATAGAGGACAGGGCAGGACAGATAGGGGTGCTGGAGCGTGACCTGCCCGGATGAGGGTGAACACCTTACATGCTCGCTCAGGACTGGGCGATGCCCGTTCCCGACACCAGCATGTCTGGGCACAGGAGGGGGACCGATCAGACAGCCTCTGCGGAGCTTTCCAGAAAGCGCTCTTGGTCCTGGCCCTGATTTAGCTCGCGTGTCCAACAGTGGCCACGTCACAGAATAGTCTCTCCTCTGCGCCAGTGCCACACACCGCTTGTACCACTCACATGTCCCACTCGCGTATGCACAGAGTTACCATTTTTGTGACTGTGGCCACTTAGTTACTGCAGAATGGACCCACCAACCCACACTCCTCGTGAGGGGGCCACCCGAGGGCAAAGAGTGAAGAACAGGGTGTGGGGCTGTTCCCTGACCTCCACCTTTCCCTGCCTTCCCAGTGCCTGAGATGGAGCCTGCTGGTGCCAGCGACAGCGACAGCATCAACGCCCTGTGCACACAGATCAGCTCGTCTTTTGCCAGTGCAGGCGCCCCAGCACCGGGGCCACCGCTGGCCTCAACAGGTAAGCCCAGCCCTTCTCCCCAGAGGGCGCCTCAGCGGCCCTGCTGTGTTCTCCCGCTCCGTTCCGCGCTACCTCAGGGACTCCAGGAACCTTGGGAGTCCCACAGGCTTAGACCCTTGGGTCATCTTAGAGGCACAGGATCCTCTGAGACCCGTGAGGCATCTTAGACCCATGAGATCATTTTTAAACCTTCCTGTCTTAGAATAATAAAATTTAGAAACCTAGAGCCTCAGAATCACGGGACATTCGCATCTGACAGATCTGGAGGCATGGAGCCTCAGCCCCTCGCAGCTCTGGAAGGCGCTCTCCTGGGAAACAGCCCCGGGAAGTCACCTTATCCTGGGACCGTGGCAGCACCTTCGAATCACAAACAATGTGAATTTAAAACTCTAAAATCTTAGAACATACAAACTTAAAACCATCGAGCCTTACTATTTTAGAATAGTACGGTCTGAAAAATATTCATGGAGTCTTAGAAACTTAGCCTCTAAAACAAAACATTCTCAAAATAGTAGAGCCAAGGGTGATATTAAAACCCCTTAAGTTAATAACAGGTGTGGTACTGACCCACCAGAAGCGGAGCCAGCCTGGTGTCCAGCCAGGTTGGTCCCCAGAGAGGGCGCTTATGAGAGGCAACCGATCCCCTCTCTTTCCCCCTCCCGTCCCTCAGTCCTGCCTGTACTTTTGCACGTGGGGGCCTTAGAATCTCTGAACTGTGTTTCCTTAGCGCTGCAGAACCGCTGTGTGGTCCAGGGGGGACTCAGCCTGGCTCCAGAGTCTGCCCCGAGCCTCAGTTCTTTCTGATGCAGCACTTGCCCTCACCTGCCCCTTTCCTCTATCCAGGGACTTCTGCCTGGGGCGAGCCGTCCGTGTCCCCGGCCGCTGCCTTCCAGCCTGGGCACAAGAGGACCCCTTCGGAGGCTGAGAGGTGGCTAGAAGAGGTGTCCCAGGTGGCCAAAGCGCAGCAGCAGCAGCAGCAGCAAGTGTCCTCAGTGCCTGCTGTACCCCCACCCCTACAGCCGTTCACAGCCCCGGTGGGGCCCTTCGACGCCGCACCTGCCCAGGTGGCCCTGTTTCTGCCGCCCCCACACATGCAGCCCCCTTTTGTGCCCACCTACCCAGGCCTGGGCTACCCGCCCATGCCCCGCGTGCCCGTGGTGGGCATAACACCCTCACAGATGGTGGCCAACGCCTTCTGCTCAGCCGCCCAGCTCCAGCCCCAGCCTGCCACGCTGCTCGGGAAAGCCGGGGTCTTCCCGTCCCCTGCTGCGCCCAGTGCCCCCGGGGGCCAGGCCCGTCCACGCCCTAATGGGGCACCCTGGCCCCCGGAGCCAGCACCCGCCCTGGCCCCTGAGTTGGACCCCTTTGAGGCCCAGTGGGCAGCATTAGAAGGCAAGCCCGCTGTAGAGAAGCCTTCTAACCCCTTCTCGGGCGACCTGCAAAAGACCGAGATTGAACTGTAGCCCGGGCTGCCCTGCCCTCCCCACTATCTCCAGGTGCCCCACACCTGGGAGCGGAGGCCCAACCTCTCCCCTCATCCTGCTCCCTGGGGCTGCACCCCTCAACATCCCCTCTAACCTCTTCTCTCGACCACCCCCACAACCACTACAGAACCGACATTGTGATGCCCAGGTTGCGACAGGATGGAATTCAGGGACGGACCCAGCCTGGCTAAGGGACCCATTTCACTGCCAGGCATAGGCTGGCAATGTCCGTTCGCCCTCACCCCAGACACGGGGATGGCCACAGCCCCACTCAGTGCCCCCGGTTCAAGCTACATTTTCCAGTTTCTGTTGTTGACCTTCCACCTTCCAGTGTTGGGTGGGATGGGGGGGTGCCCACTTAGGAGCTCTCCTGGGCCCCACATGGGTCGTCCCCCCCTCATGCACAGCACAAGCAAAGGGCTTCCCTCTGCCCACCCACTGCGTTCACTGCCAATGCCGTGCTCACCCGTTACCCCCTCCCCCGCTTCGTGGCCTGTATCTTCAATGGGCCACGGTCTCATGGGGGAAGGGGCCAAGTTAGGGGCCCAGGAAGTGCAGTAGGGGGAAGGGGAAGGAGATGCTCAGTTACCTCACATGGCTGCCGGTTGGGGAGGGGTCCAGAGGAAGCGGGAGCGGTGCCTGGCAGGTACTTTTCTATCTTTTATTTCCAGATTTCTTTTGTATCTGAACTTGCAGATTTGTATTATACCAGGACAGCCAATAAAGGAAGAGTATAATGGTGCCCCTCAGGGAAGTGGGGGTGTGTGAGGGGGACGCTGAGGTCACACAGCCTTTCAGCCTTTCTTCCTGAGTCATCCTCTCACACAAGGGGGTCTCCCTGCCTCATAGCCTGAGTCAGAGCAGAGCAGCAAGTAGCAGCTGACCTGGCACTGGAGAGGTGAGTAGAAAAGGGTGCCCAAAATTAATCACCCCATTTCTGATTCTTACAGATTTTGGACCAAGGAATTAAAATTATAATCTGCTGCTAATAAGTTCAATATTAAAATCCCTTCAAATAATGAGATTTGGAATAGGATATCTTTGAGCTGGCAAATTCTTGTATCATCAACTTTATTCTCTGTAACTTAGGCCAAAGTATCATTTGATGTGGCAGCATGTTTTTAAGTCTGTCTTGTTTCTTGGGCCCCTTTATATAATCTACAAGTTATATATTTTTAAATATATAAATTATATGCTTAATTCTTTATAGCTCTTTAAAATGAGGTGATTGATTTGGTGAAACCCAAGGTTCTATCCCCACTTGATGGATGGGGAAGTTGGATCACTCGCCCAGGGTCACGCGCCTGGTTAGCAGGGGAGCCTGGATTCACGCCAGCCTCAGGGCCAGCCAGTCCACCGGGCTGCGAAGGGACAGGCCTTGGGACTGCCCTCAGGAGTTTGTATTATGGTCCGTCACTCAGCTGTGGATCCTGGACTGGGGGACATGTGGCAGATGACTCTGCCAGGACACCAAGGGGCCCCCTGGGAGGGCGCAAAGGGCTCTGCTGGAAAGAAGCCGCACTTTATCATCTCCAAGCTGTTGCAGATGTCATTACCTGACGTTGTACCTTCTTCCAGGAAAATGTTGCTCATTCTTCAGGCTTCTTACAAATGGATCCTCTTCCCAAACCCTGCCCCCCCACCACCACACCCCATACAGTCCTTACAAGTGTAACAAAACCTTTGACCCTCAGGCTCACCAGGAGCGCTCCCCCCTGAACCTGGATCCTGGAGGGCCCTGACCGCTCTGCCTGTGTTTCCCCACCCACCCTGACCCAGCAGGGGGCTGCCACTACCTGGTGTCCCGTTGGACTGAGTGGGGTGTCTCTGGGGCTCCCTTGGTCACCTCAGTGTACCAGCGCAGGGCCAGACAGGCGGCAAGCTCAGCAATTCACGTCTGCAAACAGCTGGTGAGTGAGAGGGGCAGAAAGGCCTAGGACTCGGACAGAGAATTCCAGCTATTGGACTGACAGGGAGACTGAGGCCATGTGGCGCACAAAATCAGCGACAGAGTCAGGATCCTCTTATCTGCCAAAGGCTGTCTTTACACAAAACCTTCCCTGTGCCCAGAGCAAGCTTTCTCAGCGCCCTCCCCCCTTCCCCCCCTACCAGTCCGCAGATGCAGATGTTCTGGTCTGTGGAGCTCCAGGCTCCCCAGGACCTCCACGGGCTCCCCTGAGCCAATTTCCCCATCTTCCCTCCCAGGGCCGATGGAGACTGCGTCTTCCTGATGCTTCTCCCTCCACAGATACCATAGATCTGGGGCACACGTCCCACCCGGCACTTCCCCCAGGCTTGGACTCAGCGTAGACCCAGGGACACAACCGCGTTGACGTCCCTGCCCTACCGGTGATCTAGTCCCACCAACGCAAAGCGCTGCAACCAGTCCCCCCTCGTGGAGGTCATTTTGGGACGGACGTCCAAATCAGACAGTTTCGGCGACCCCTTTCCAGTTCAGCTGCTCCCTGTGCCCGCCGCGGGGCCACTCGCCAACCCCGTGGCCGCGGTCTTTCCGCACCAGCAACCCCCCGCCCCGACTCCTGCCGGGCCGCGCGGATCACTCCTGCAAGTGCTCGGTGCAACAGCGCCTCCTTGTGGCCCGGTCGTCGGGAACTCGGCGGGGCCCCTTCTGCCTGGCTCCGGACGAGAGCTCAGCCAGCAGATGAGGCTAAGGCAGAGAAAGTGTTCTGAAAGTTCGAGTCTCGGTCATGAGCAACATTCCCCTTCAGGCTCTGGCTCACTCGTTTGCTCCTCTAGGGAGCGCTCCCTGACTGCTCCAGTCCTGCGGTCCAACGGTGCTTTCCCGTCCCAGCCCTGACCCTTCTGCCTCTGTTTCCCCCGTCCTGGCCCCACCCTCTGGGCTGTCACTGGGTCTGTGAGGATAGGAACGAGGGCTGTCTTGGTCACCACTGTGTCCCCAGGATCGCCCAGAGAGTACACAGAGCAAGGCTGAGAGGACCTGCAGGGCACCTCCTAGGGAGCATTCATTTACTCCCTCAACCCATATTCCGCTTTGTTTCATTTAATAGTTTTATTGAAGTAAAATATACATATAAAATTCACCCGTTTTAAGTGCTTTAACAATTTAGGATGATTTTACAACCATCACTACAATCCCTATTTCAGAACATTTCCATCACCTTAAAAATACCTCTTGTGCTCACTTGTGGTCCTTCCTATTCCCACCCTGGCCCCAGGCAACCACTGATCTACTTTGCATCACGTGAGTGTTCTTTTCCTCATTTTACAGCACTTTCTGAATGCAGGTTCCTATCATCAGATGTTGATGCTGAGGATGCAGAGTGACACTTACAGACCCTGCTCTCGGGGAGCCTGAAGTCCGGAAGGGGCCTTGTCTAATGGGAAACTATGTCCAGTCATCCATTCATTCAAAATATTTATTGATAATTATCAAGCACTTCCCACGTGCCAGGTACTATTCTAGGACGTATGGACATAGCAGTGGGGGAAAAAAAGGGACAAAAATCCTGCTCTGTTGGAGTTGATATTATAAGGAGAGGATTAAGAAAAAAATAAAGAAACGAGAAGATGTGTGATACAATGGCTGGTTGTGATGGTAAGCCTTTTGAAGGAATAAAAAAACCAACCCTCTCCCTTCTTGAGGAAGGGAGAGAGCATGATAGGTGTGATTTCAGGGCAGCCAGGATCACACCCCTGAGAAGGAAGCGTTTGATCAGAGACCCGGCTGAAGTGAGGGAGTCGCGACCTCATCTGAGGGAACAGTGTCCCTGGCAAAGGCCCGGAGCAGGGGACACACCACCGCCAGGGGGGCTGGAGGCGCGGGGGAGGCAGTCGGAGGCCAAGTCCAAAAGTCAGAAGAGCTGCCCAAAGCAACTCTCTCCCAAGTCACTGTAACAATGACAAAAACATCCCACACACATTTCCAAAGGTCCTCCAGGCACTGGCCCTGGGTGAGAATCACAGCCACAAGCTGCAGGGAGCCAACTGGAGTCTCTGCCTTTCAGGCTTCTGCGATAGGACGTTGAACTGGAATTTTCCAAGCCCTCCCAGAACTGCGTCTAGGGCCAAAGCTCAGGACAAAAGTGGCCAACTCCCCCACTGCTTAAGTTTAACACCGCAGGAATAGGAACCAGCCCCCTAACCAAAGAACTCTCTGAGGGAACCCAGGGCAGGCCCAGCTCCCATCATGCTCCCCCACCGCCCTCAGAAAAGGGTGCAGAGCAGAAAACAAGGGCCGGAGGGCAGAGTTCTCAAGAGGACAGAACTTTCTCTCCCCTGCGAACTTGGAATGGAGTTTTTTTTTTTTCCTCAAATATTTGTTGTGAAAAATAATGAATCTATGGAAAAGTTGAGAGAAGACTATGATAAACTCTACATACCTCCACCAACAGTTGTTAACATTTCATGCTGTTTTTCTCTGTCACTGAATCCACACACATGGTCAAACAATCACACACACACACACACACACTCACACACACACACACACACACACACACACGATACCCAATATCTGCAGAGTCATCCTGAGTCGTGACTCCTACATATTTCAGCAGATGTCCTCTAAGAACAAAGCCATCCTCTTACCCATGATACCATCGTCACACCTAAGAAGAGTAGCAATCATTTCAAAAGATGATCTAGTAACCAAGACTGTGCTTTAAAATAAATGAAAATGAGAATCTGGTGAAATTGTCTTTAAGGTTCCCGGTAACCTTGTTACCAGGCAGGGAGCCTGGCCCTGAGCGAGTCTGCTTAGGGTTGGCCCGTAGTATGTGGGTTCTTGACTTTGTACAAGAAAGAGTCACGCCAGGTCTGGGTGACTATGAGGATGCGTTTATTAAGCTGAGGACAGTGAAACAAGGAAGGGCTTAGCATAGAAGAAGCAACGGGAGAGCCAGGCTGGGCTGCTTCAGCTCCCTGGAGAGTCAGAGACAAGGGAGCCTTGGGGAAGGTTCAAGGGATTAGCCCGGGATGAGCTGCCACTGCCCATTGCTCCCCTGGTTGCAAGCCTCTGGGGCCTTAGAGTTTAGGAGATGCAGGCCTGTGGGGAAGACTAGAGGAAAGGGAATGGCGCTGGCTTCTCCCCTGAGGGAGAGCCTGCTGGGTCCTTCGTCTTCAGGCTTTCATCTCTCTCTTGCAGGTGGGAATCTTAGGATTGGGTTTCAGTAGAATATTCATCAGTTTTCCAGGTGTCCCCTTTCAGAGTTATGGTCTCCATCATGGTCTCCGCGACTGGTCAGTGTGGCACGGCAGGAGGTTGTTAATCATCGCAGTTGGTCCTGACATAGCCCACCTGGGCCTGGAGCTGAAATACAACTG